TTAGCGTATCATGTTTTTGGCGCCGTTGCCGGGGACCCTCTAGGTTATTGGAGAAGCGTGAAAGTTTGTTACTCTAGCTTTTTCTTTACTGAATTTTCTCTCTTCCACCTGTTTGCCTTCATGGGTTGCTTTTGCTGATTGTGTGCAGGTAGTGCATGACCCGTAGCCAGTCGAGAGATTTACTACCATTAGACCAGGAGCTTGAACGGACCTGTAAGAACTTCAAGCAGGCTCTAAAGGCGCGACTGGCTGCGGAGAAGGCGCTATCACAGCTGCAAATTGCCGACGAAGCAGAGATGGGTGACCCACAGAACAATGATGTGGTCATTCCCGAGGAACAGACCATGAGATATTACTGGACCGCTAGAGCCGCGGACATGAGGTCGCCCATTCAGCACTCTCATGTCCCAGCCAACAACTTTGAGGTGAGCACCTCGGTCATCACAATGTTGCGCGGCTCGGTAGTATTCCGTGGCAAAGAGGGGGAGTGCCCCCAATCACATCTGAGGCGATTCCACCAGCTCATCGATGGAATCAAGATCAATGGGTCCCAACCTATGCAATCCAGCTGAGGTACTTCCCGTTTACCCTAGAGGGGCAAGCCAAGGAGTGGCTAGACACTCGACCTCCAGGCTCGATCACCACGTTCGCCAACCTGGCGGACAAGTTCCTCACTCGCTACCATCCTCCGTCCAAGACGGCGGACCTGCAGAAGCAAATTACCCACTTTGCTCAGGATGAAGATGAGACCATCCGGGATGCTTGAGAACGATACACCAGTCTTTTCCTCAAGTGTCCCAACCATGGTTTTACTGATGCCTTCAAGGTGGGCACCTTCTACCATTCCCTTTTCCCGGAGGACAAGCAGCTGATTGACTCAGTCTGTGGCGGGAATATGCTCACCAAAACACCGCCACAGCTGAATCAACTTTTTGAGGATATGTCATAACAGGGCTATGATTGGGGAACTGCGAGGAGATCGAGACGAGCACTAGGGCGGGGTGTGTATTCTGTAGCCACCCAGTCATCTGATTTGGTGCAGGTAGTATCAAAACTGGTTTCGGCCATCGATCGTTCTGGGATGATTTCAGGTACAGGACAGCAGCAGGCGATGCACTGCCAGTGGTGTGAGAGATCCCATCACACCGTGGAGAACTATCAGGCGATGAGGGAGTCGTCTACTCCCCAGGAGCAGGTGAACTTCATCAACAATGCCAGAAGCAACGATCCTTACAGTAATACCTACAATGAGGGATGGCGCCAACATCTAAATTTCTCCTGGAGTGGCAACAACAATCCAAAGCCACCTGGCTTCCAGGCTCCTGCAGCTAGTTTTCCAAACCAGAGGCAGCAATACCAGTCTCGCCCGAGCCAGATGCAACAACAACAGCCAATCTATCAGCCCAGACAGGGGTAAGCTTTTCAACAGCCCCCACAGCAGCAGTACCAGCAACCTGGTGCACCTCCATCAGTCCCAGCACCGAGCGATCCCGTGTCAGAATTGAGGGATCTAGTGACTACCTTGGCAAGCACTAGTACCCAAAAGTTCAATAAATTGGAGAAATTCATGGAAGCGGCTACAGGCAAATTCATGGAGATTGAAGCTGGCCAGAGAAACCAGCAAGCACTCCTGCAGGATATGGATACCAAGATCGCGCACCTGGCAGATGCCCTTTCTTCCAGACCGGCTGGCACACTTCCTGGCCAACCCCTACCGAATCCTAGAAATCATAAGGAGGGGTTGCACGCCATTACGCTACGAAGTGGGACTGTGACTGCGGATGCACCGCAGAAGAGTGCCAAGAAGGTGACCCAGATCACCCCAGCCGGAAGAAGACCTGGTGATGGAAAAGGAGCCAGAGGATCAAGCTCCAAAGCCACAACCTGTAGTGGCTGAATATAAGCCTAAGCTCCCTTTTCCCACCAGGATTCATAAAGATAGGCTAGAGGCAGAGTTTGGCAACTTCTCGTCCATGCTTAGGAAGCTACATGTTCAAGTGCCCTTCATGGAGGCACTATCTCAGATGCCTAAGTATGCGAAGTTCCTGAAGGAACTTCTCTCAAAGAAGTGGAGGCTGAGCAAGCTAGCCACTGTGGAGCTCAGCCAGGAGTGCTCGGCCATTCTGGAGAACAAGCTTCCGCAGATCCAAAAGGACCCACGTAGTTTTACTATCTCGTGCTCTATAGGTAAATTGCATGTAGAGAGATCCTTGGTGGATCTAGGTGCTAGTATTAATGTGATACCACATAAATTGTCAAGAAACTAGGCCTAAGTGAACCCAGTGCAACTAGGATGAGTATTCAACTAGCTGACCGATCTATAGTTCATCCTAGGGGCATAGTGGAAGACCTTCTGGTTAAGGTTGGCAGATTCTTTTATCCTGTGGATTTTGTTGTCTTGGACATCAATGAAGACACAGAAGTGCCCCTTATGCTAGGAAGGCCTTTCCTGGCCACCGTCAAGGCTCTCATAGATGTGCATGATGGGACCTTAGCCTTGAGGGATGGCGAGGAGCAAATAACATTTTCCATTGCTAATAATCTCCCTGCTTCATCGCCTTTGCATGCTGTTTCTCACCAGGAGCACGAGTCTGTCCTGTATCTTTCTGTGCTTCTCATTTTGCAGGATCCCTATCACATATCTTCGCCGCCACTCCCGTCCACTCTGTTACCAAAAGACAAGATCAAGGAGGAGTGGCGGCCGAAACTGCAGGTAGCCAAGCCTGCTTAAAAGAAAGCCGGAGACCGCTATGAGCTGGTCCCACCTCCTGGGCCTCGACCACATTGGCCATCCAAGTATTCACTCGCTTGCATCCTGCCGGATGGCCAGGTTCAGTTGACGAGTGTTGGTGGTCACACTCGTCGTGTGCATGGCCACCACCTGAAGTTGTACCTCAAGAGCAATGTGGATCCGCTCTTGAAGGCACCTGTTCCTACACCTCTCTGAGAATCCACCCTACTGGCGTCCAGCTAAACGGCGGTAAAGAAGCGCTTGCGGGGAGGCAACCTCGCCAAGGTTTGTTTTTCGGTTTGTCCACTTGGAACTATGGTTTTTATCACCCAGTGTGTTTTGATGACTCTAGCCCTGCTGAGTGGTCCCATTTCCAGTCCTCCGATAGTCCATATTCCCGGTAACATCATTTCCCCTTGTCTTTCCCTCTTCTCCATTGAGGGCAATGTCGTGCTTAAGTGTGGGGGGTGTTTATCTGTTGTTGACTGCTAGATGAGTCTGTGTGCTTGGAGCCTAGTCCGCTGTCCAAATCTCGAGATTTGAGGGCTCCAAGTTCATATGTTTTCATGATCATATTGGCACTGTGGGTTTAATTGGTGAACCGAATGGCTTTCGAATTAATGCATGACAACTGGATTGTGATTAGGACAGCCTATAATAATGACTGAGACGTGCAGTAGAATTGTGTAGGGGTTCAGTTTTTCAACTGTTTGCTTACCAACTGTGACTTGGATTTATCACTTGTTCTTGGCAGTCGTTTATGCATCTAGTTCAGGGAATCAAGAATGAGAGATAGAGCATATAGTTAGCCATGTGAGATTTGAGCCTGCTCGTTTCTTTCTTGTGTGATAGTTCCCTCTTCCATGATGTGTAGCATTCACGTTGTCATTAGCTAAGATGATGGAGGCATAGGATTAGCCCACGACCAAATTGACTGTCCTGGTGTGTCATACCCCCTAGTCAGCCCCTTTGAGTCGTGTCACTTTCTTTCTTTCGGTTTGTAATGGAAAATCACCCTTTTGCATCTCTTAGAAGGTTCCACGGAGTGGTTTTTGCATGTTCTCTGCTGTTTCTGCTAGAAATAATGTGAGGGTTGGAGGTAGTTCTTAAAAAAAAGTTGGGCATGTGTTTGAAAAATGTGCAGAGGTGGTGGTTCTCTCAAGAAATGAAAAAAAAAAGAAGAAAAAAATGGATGAAAGCTAAAGAGAGCCACTACCAAAAATCTGAATCATGCTCATTAAGTAGTGTTTCTTAGCAGTCTGACTTGGAAATACTAACATTATTGTGACCTCCTGCGCTCTTGTGCTCTAAAGAACTCGTGTAATGCAGAATGGCAGAAAAAAAGTAAGTGGTTTGATTGACTGTGATTGTGTTGGGTTTGGAACTGTGGAACCTTGTGCTATGAATACTTCCACCACCTAAAAGGCCTTTTCCCCATGTCCAAAACCCTAGCCAGTCATTTGAACATGTGTCTAAGACCTCCGGATTAGTTAGCGATGACATCCATTTATGTGAACTCTAACATTTAGAGGCTGCCGTCATGGTGAAGAGACGTTAGGGATTGAGAGAATAAGTATGCGCATTTTTCGCATCAGATTTTCCTGACCCCACTGGTCAAGAGTGAGCGATTAATTTCCTTGTTCTTTACCATCTTTACCCCGGTGAGGACCTAGATGGCTCGGTCTTGATTCTGATGTCTTGAGTTTTATGCATGAGTTGATTGCCTTGAATAAGTGGTTGAGTCAAGTCTATGTTGGTTAGTGAACAGAAGGGAGACTCTTCCTTTACCCGATTTTGCAGCACTCGAATGTCCTCTGTGGTGGTCGTCCAGGTTGCTGTTGAAGTTGTTCATGTGTTGATGTCTAAAAGCCAGTATGATTCCCGTGTTTCGTGCCTATATGATATGTCCCCAAGGGTTTCATGATTGAAATGTGTTGAGCTTTCCTTGTATCTGACTTGGTTTGCTTGGGGACAAGCAAACGATTAAGTGTGGGGGAATTGCAAAAACTTGATACGCTAAAACACAACACCAAACTACGACCAAGTGTAATCACAATCCGGAAATGAAGTAACATGCAAGCTCTAATTGTCAACCCGGGGTCTAGATCTACTGCCTACTCCGTGAATATCTATTATGTAGCAAACTAAGTCGAGTGATTGTGATTTTAACTAAAAGCAATAAGAAAGCAGGAAATTGGTTCAAAGTTCTTTAGCAAGGGAAGAGTCACTCGGGAATGAGTCCCCCTAGCTCCTTAGTTAGGTCGAGGTTGTAATTACCCTAGGTTGATTAACTGTTGATTAAACTGCGGAATATCCGACAGTAGCTTGGAATCTCTTAAGCTGACCAAGCCCTCTCAGTCCAACTACCTAGCAGACGACTAGTCTTCACCAGGATAGAAAGCTGAGGCTATGAACGCAGAACTCGACTACTGGAATTGGATTCCAGTACAAATCGGTAAATCGATTAACTCTTGTATAATAAATCTACCCCTGTCGATTGATGAAGCTCTAACAACCTAATCAGATTCTATCTATCTCAGGTTGCAGCAGAAATCAAGAAAAGATGATCAGACTTCAATTGACTCAATAAATCATGCAACAATCAATTAAAATCAAACATTATAACAATCCCAAGTCATTACAATCAAGATCCCTAACACATGGAACTAGGGTTCTTCATACCCAAGTGAGAGAAGGTTCTACTCCATAGAGAGAGAGAGAGGAAAACAGAAATCAGAGTAGTCATACTCATAATGATGAGGATAATCTGCTCCGGGATGATGATCTTCACTCCTGGGGAAGCAATCTGGGCTTCAATGGTGAGAAATCCACTCCAAATAGCTCATAGGGTTTGTTCTTCGCACTTTCTCTCTCTAAAACTCTGTTTTGCTCCAAAAAGTCGACTCTCTCTCCTTTGGCTTGAATCTACCTCAAAAACCCGATCCCGGGTGAAATACGGGCTGAATTACGCTTGTAATCATGGTCTGCCCGTAATTCACCCAAAACGCGCGTTTCACTAAACTCTGAGGAAGGTAATTACGGTCGTAAGTACCCAATTACTGCCAGTATTTAAGTAATTACGACTGTAAATGAGTCCACTCTTGCCCTTAATTTGCTATGCGACAGGAATTCTCAGTGGTTTAGGCTCGGTATTGCATTTACGGGCATGACAAAAGTAATTATGCCCGTAATTGGGCAGGAGCTGCCCGTAATTCTTCCTCCGCTCCTATTTAATGCTTCGTTTCTCCCTCGTCCGGACTCCGAATCAGTCGCCGTTTGAAACCAGACGCTCGTAGTCTCATCCTATTTCTTTTTATAACAAACATCCATGATTATTTGTCCATAAAATGAGGTAGAAATCCATTATTCCTCAGGTCATGCTCGTGTTTCTTCTCCCGAATTGCCAAATGAATTCCGATTGACTTGAAACTTGCGCCTTTGCTTCAATTTACATTATAGGACCTAAAATGTGACAAAGGAACACAGCCTAGCATAAAATAGTCCAAGAGAGAAAAAACTCAAGCCAAAATGATCAAGAAACGAGGGTGCAAACATGTGCAAATACGACGTTATCACTTAGGGAGACTCTTGATTACCGGATCAGTATTAACTAAAATTCCACCATGATCTGAGAAGGATCCCAGAATCACCTCCATTGTGCCATTAGGAAAGCTCTCAATCCATTCAATATTCACAAGGCCTCGATCAAGTCTCTTTGCTATAGGATTTGCTTCTGGTTATTAGACCACGTGAAGATAGGACCCGTAGTCCGATAATTCACTAACTCCATATCATTCATCCATGTTGAAAAATCCTCCATACTTGCAGTGATGTAACGCTGGTTTAGTGTCTCATCCGGGGTCATTACTGCATTAAAGTCACCATCTACAATCCAAGCTTGGCCCACTACCTTATATCTACTCAATTCTGCATATGTATCTCGTCTCTCAACTTCCTCATTTGATGCATAGATTGCAGTGAAGAAACAAGTCTCGCCAGAACCACTTTGTACCAAGCAATGAATAAAGTTATTACTTGGCTTAAGTACTTTTAGCTTACACTCAGGTGACCAAAACAACCAAATCCTTCCTAAGTCAGAATCAACATAATTCAATAATTTCTCCCAACCATCAAAATAGCCTTAAATCTTCTCCTCGGCTTTATTTTAATGAATTCTTGTCTCAAGAACAACAACTACATCTACTTTGTACTTCGAGGGCTTATTAAACCCTCGAACATTCCAATACAGAAAAATCATATGAAAGACGGGGGCTTAGCCCCTAACTTCTTGCTATCTTTCCTTGGTGCTACCTGCAGCTTTACTACCTCAGATTCATCAATGTCACTGAGCACACTAAAGGAGGAGGGGGAAACGTGCAACACACTAGTAGGACTAGCTCTTGGAGACCAGACTCGTGGCCTCGCACCATGAACCACACGTTGAAACTCATCTGCAGCTTGGAGGTGCGCAGAAGCATTAGCTACCACTAAAAAGGAACGATCCAAATTGAAGCCCTGCACCCCACGAGCCACAGTCCCACTAGAACTAGCTTCCTGAATAGGAGTATCACATATTGCTGCCAATTGAGGATCAACAATCATGTCTGATATCACTTCCTTTCCCTTATTATTAGCTTGCACTCTATCTTCTACTGACTGAACCTTCTTGACCCAAACCTGCTTACCAACCACCATCTCACAACCACAGCTCTTACCAAACAGCTTGCACTTCCTACATACTGGAGGCAGAAAACAATATTCAAGACCAACCTTGATAGATCGATCTTCAACAGGCCACAGTGTAATGTGATCTGGGAAAGCGTCTCCAGCAATCAATTCCACCAGCACCTTAGCCAGCCCTAATCTTCCACCCAATTTAGTTGTCTGGTCCACCCCAAGAGGAATCCCAATCCAGCTAGCAATCCTTCCTAATCCCTCATAATCAACATATTCCAGCGGGACATTCGTCATCTTAAACCAAATTGGCAAAGCCTTCCTACCCAAATCCTCCACACTAATGCCCGGCGTCCATGGTCTCAGGTAAAGAAGATTTTCAAAATAAAACCAAGGTCCATTTTCCAGAATCCATTCATAGGTGCTCTGCGACGGGAGCTGGATAAGCAATAGCTGATCACACATGTATGAAACCCTTACCTGCCCATCTCGACCCCATAGCTTATTCGTCCATCGACGCAACACGAACATCGGGAGAGGTTCTGCAGAAACTGACCCACTAAGCAATTCTTCCACCTCGCAGCCCCTGCTTCACGGACAGACTTCTGGGTACGAATGCCTCCATTGAAGACTTCTGGTGAAAAATAGCTTAGCCGATTAGCTTCTGAAACTCCAAACAACTTTGCCCAAGGTTTCGACGGTATCCCTTGGCCAACCTTGCCCGATTTTATCATATTAATTTTTTGATAAAAGGTAATATGTGAAATCTTGGTGTAACATATTTTATTTTAGCAAGATTGATAGAACTATTGGATGATATGCCAATGATGACAAATATAACGAATCACTGCTTCCATCATCATCATCATCATCATCATCATCCTTGCTTGCTATTTGGCTACTAAAACCATACGTGCGTTTGAGCGCTTCAGTCAATTATATTCTCGTCTTAGTATATGGGGCATATGCATGAATACGAATGTCACGGGATGCACACTTGCTTTTTTGCTCCTAGTTTCAAATTTCCTATCTTGATGCTTTATTCCTTGTACTACTCTAGTACTCTCTTCTTCAGACACATACATCTAAGCATACCATTCTTTCCCTTCTTCAACGTTGAATTCAAAACTTCCACAATTTTGTTCTTCAGGTAAAATAATTACAACATTTCCGGCCCGAGCATATATACGACAGGACTCTATATATACGTATACAAATTATCCAACATCTCTGCATCTAGCGTCTAACTGTACGTACATACACTAATTTCTTTCTTGATCACAAGGTAAAACAATATCCATGTCGTCAATATCGCTGGAAGCATTAGCTATGGCGGGAGTGGATTGCGTGGGGATACTTGTGTGTTTAAATTAAATTTGATGATCCTAACTCTCTAGCTTCTTCATCTCGCTCTTTTTGCATCAAACTCCTTGCTGGGATACTTTGGCAAGCTTAAAGAATCACAAGGAAGTGGCTTTATTGTACAGAACTGCAAAACATTGATCATAGAGCCAAAACATCACCAACAAATTGATAGAAAAAAGTATAAGAGCCGGAAAACTAGCAGATGTGCAACAACATAGAACGGTGACAATTCCTAAAAAAAAGAACGGTGACAAATAGGCAGATGTACTTATTAAACAACCTATACAAATTGTGTACTTCGTAGAGAGATAGGCAAGAGTTTGAGATAATTACCTACAACAATCTTTCTGATATGGCAAAATCAAGATACCTATGAGAATCAATTCAAATTACAGCGTCAGTGAATCCTACATAAGAATATGCTTTCCAAGTCCGATTTGTGGAGAGACGCGAGACGAAACAGATAGAACCGATATGACTTTTCTAGTCTACACATAATATAATACACCGAAGGGAAAAACGGGAGCCCCATTTCAAATTTCCTGCAACGGGAGTGAAAGTAGGAAGGACATTTTGGTCTTCACAATTACTTTTTTTTATTCATTAAAAAGGTATGTACTGGGATTCGAACCATGACCATTTTAAAGAAAGGCAAGGATTATAACCAATCACACTAAGTACATTTGTTGTATCCTTTTAAATTAAAAACATATAATAGCAGGGTGGAAAAAACTCTTCCCCCATTTCAAATTCCCTGTTCCATGAGCGTTTGTAGGAAGGGTAAAATAGGGAGTGTCAATTTTTTCTCTTTCCTCTATGGAACGGGCCAACTTACCGTACACATGCGGATTTAAACGAGTCAAGGAGTGTCAATTTTTTTCTTTATACCCTTTTATTTATCCGTGGTGATAAAATATATATGAAAAGGCAAAAATAATACTCCTTTTTATTGTTAAAAATAAAAAATTTAACAATAGACTAATGCATGGTATCTAATGGGCTAACCGCTAACCATAAAATAAAAGAGTTGAATGGGCCTGACCTACATGGGATTTGGTCATCAAGTAAAACAAATGAACATCATGGGTTTGCCATTCTAAAACAAGCTATTTTCTCTGGCATAATATATATTATGCTATTATTTTATATCTTAGTGGCTAAAATATAATGTATTTTAAAGTTATTCAATGGTTCAACCTCGACCAACCCAATTAGTCCAATTTTTATCATTTCAAATATATATTTTATAATTATTTGACATCATAATGATCAAATTATAGTGTATTTTATAGGGAATCGTTTGGTATTTGTTAGTAAAAAACTAAACATAAAAATCTATTTGGTTATTTTAAACATTAAAACGATCCTCAACCTTTTCAGTTCCTTTTGAATTTATTGTCAAAAAAAAAATCCTTTTGAATTTATATGGTTTTATTCCAAAATAAGTGATGTGCAAATGGCGAATTGTAGTCGTCTTTTTTCTTTCACTATTTTTTTATTTTCAAATAGAAAGTTTAAAAGTAAAGAATAATTAGAATTTGGCATGGGTCGGTCAAACAGGTTGAATTTCAAGTTTTGGCCCATTTGTTTTATGCATTGCAAATTTATTAGCATGTTGATGGAAATGGCTTGGAAAAAAGACATATATGTTGTATCTTTGCAGAAATGTCCTCAAATGTTTGAATGCTTTGTGAATCAGGTTCTGTGACTTTTGTGATGGTGTATGTGCTTGACGATTGCTCGATGTTGTAACTACTTAATTTAAGAGTAAATCTTTTGACTTTCCCTATGAGTTGTGATACCAGTTCTGGTGGTTGCAGCATGTTGTCGTTGTTGGCCTGTAAAAGTTGTTCCGCCGTGATGCTAAATACCTTTCTTTCTTTTTTAACAAATTTTGTAGTAGTGCTATGAAACAGACCACCCATGAACGCTACGCTTATTATGTTCTGTTCTTACTTCCGGTGGTGAGAAATTGTGAATTGAGAATCATATTCGCCTACCGCACTGTGTCTGGTTGGTGGCTGCTTACTGTGCTCTCTAGAGTTATGAAACAGACTACCCATGAACTTTACCCTTAAGAGTCCACAACTTTGCGAAAAACCAAATATAGGCAATCAAAGGTGGTGGAAGTGTGATGATTTTTTATGGCTTAATTGTTTGTGAATTAGATATCTGATCTTTGTATGGTTAGAGGGGATGTTTGCTTAATAGAATAATCCATTTTAATTCATGTTTATTTTTAACATAAGCTTTAGGCCCTGTTTAGTATCGATTTGTTGCTGTTGTGGTTGCAGTGGTGTTGTGTAAACAGATGTACAACCACAACAGGAAAAAAATAGAAAACACAAACCTGTTTAGTTGATAATCTAAAAAATAATGAAAGCAGAGAACAAGAAACAAAAACGCGTTCAATTACTACTATTAGAATTAAAAACAAGAAAAGAGAGGAGGCGGCGGCGGGGGAAAGGATTCGAAGTCGGCGACGGGAATCGAGAGGAGGAGGCGGCAAGGGTTGCGAGGTCGGGCGACAGGGAAAAGGGAGGCGGCGGGGGCAAAGGGACGAAATCGACGACGAGGGGGAGATGGACGATATCGGTGGCCTGGGTCTCAAGAGGAAGAAGTTGAGAGAGGGAGGGAGCTGTTGGGTGGCGGGTTTGGGAGAAAACGAGGGTAGGGTTGGCCGACTAGGGTTTGGAGGTGGGTTTGGGAGTTAAAAAAAAAAAGAGAAATTTTTTGCTTTAGGTGGGATTCGAATTGAGGGTTGTTTTAATGAAAACAAACGGAAATCCCGTGTAAAACATGTATAAGAATCAAATCCAAAGCAATAAATTGTTGTTTCTCAAATTTGGACCCTGTTGTGCAAATCCGATTCACAACAAAAAATAGAAACCCAACTAAACATGTTTTTTTTTTCTTGGTTTCTCCAATCTTGAAAAACACAACAGAAAACAAAAACATATAACAATACTAAACGGAGCCTTAGTAACTCAAAACCTTTGAGACACATATCACCTACTGCATTGTATCATTTTGCCTGGGTGCTTGCTGTGTTGTCAAACTTCTTTGCTGCTGATGCATTTACACTAACAGGGGAGTTAAGAACCCATGAATGTTTCCGTTTGACACAAACAAGAGGACTTACTTCTAAATCGTGCACTAAAGATGATTGGAGGAAACATCTCTGTTGCAGTTGATACACTGGAGACCATAACAAAAGCAACGTATAACATCAAAACCAACCATCTGAACTATTAGCATTGTTGCTTTACTCTTTTTTCGTGGTTGAGTCTCCTTCAAAAAATTTAGTTTGATTTTAGAAAATTTTGAAATGCAATCCTGTCTTGCCACCAACGCGTTCAGTAGATGGAGATGGCAGAGGCGAAGGCTATTTTGTGTTGTTGTTGCTGGTTTAGGGATCGGTTTGTGAAGAAGAGGGAGAAGAGAGGGGGAAAGGGAAATGCATGAGAGGGGGATAACTCTTTTCTCCGACAAAAATGGAGTGAAGAAAGGAATTATGATCAGTAAGGATATGGTTATCTTACATAACTGTGTCTATTCTGTTTGAATTGAGCTTGGGAGGTAGTGATAAGGACGAGCTGCAACCAATTCATAGTGATAAGAGTGCTATGAACTGTGATCATGTCTTATTTCAAGTTAGAAGGTAGTTTCAGTATAAGGATTAATTAATTTGACAAGTTGTTTCGTCCATGATTCTTGGTAGTTTCAGTGCCATTCTAGCCATTGTTTAGTCTGTAATTTTTGAGAATTGATGTGCAAGTAATGACTTTCACTTAGCTTCAACTATTATGTGTGTATTTATTGGCATGTGATAGAATTCTCTTTTCCTTTTCTTTGAATTCAGTTTCATACTCTAATTGTATCATTTGTACATAGGCAAATCATGCTCGAGATGACAACTCGCTGATATGGCTTGTGCAAGGAATGAAGCCATCATTAAAATTCAGACCGACAACGGGGAGGGATGCCCAGGACTAATTCAATGATGATTAATGATGGTATGATAAAAACTGCAGTCTGCATCAGCACCAATTTCTAGGCCTAAGTAAAGTTATTCAACCTAGAACTCTGCTTAGCGCTAAAAATTGCCCTCACCCAACCTTTATCCTGTTTGACCCACTTCTGAAGAGTCAAGATATATTACTAATTCTCTCCGTTCGTATTTTCTTATTGGCTCTTTCTGACCCTTTAGGTTGGGGCGGGTCGGGAAGAATCGGATTAGTGGGCCGGTCCTAATCAAGTGGAATCCCAATCCCTTCACTCTCACTTGCTTTCTCTCCCATTCCACAAGTGGGTAACATATAGTAATCCGGCCAACGGGCCGGGTAATAAGCTAGTCCTTTATTATAAAAGGCTAAGTGTAACTACACTTTTTGAAGTGGCTTTGTGCTTCATAAGTTAAAATTAACCAAAGAATTTTGCAAATGAAAATTTAGAAAAAGGTTTAAAAGTGGGGACTCACTACAGTAATTTCGATATAATTTTAAGTTAGGTAACTTGATTAAATCTGAATAATTAAAATACATCCTAATTAGTTTAAGTCATTGATTAAAAAAGAAACAAAAGAAACACAAAAATATAAAATAAACGGGGGATGGGATTTCGTCGGTTTGAACATTTTAATCAAGCTCTTTTGGCCGAAATTGGCTGGCGTATCCTCAATGAACCACATTCCCTCCTTGCCCAGGTGTATAAAGGGAAATATTTTCCTCAAGGAACATTCCTAGGCGTGACGGCTCGATCACCCCCTTCTTGGGGGTGGCAGAGTATCCTGTTTGGGCGCCAGTTACTGGAGATGGGTTTACGATGGTAGGTCGGCAATGGCCGACTGGCCTCTCTTCTCCACTCTAACTAGATTCCAGGGCTCCAGCTGGATCCCCCTCGCTATAATCCGCGGATCTTGCCAAACGAGGGTGACCCCTCGGTGGCGGAGGTTATTTGTCAAGGGGAAGGGCGGTGGTCTTATGATAAGCTTAGTCAATGGTTTGACCCGTCTACCTGCCGTGCCATCAAGGCTATTCCACTCCCACGACATAATGTGGCTGATAAGCTTATCTTATATAACACAGCGGATAGGGTTTTCTCGATTAAATCAGCTTATCATTTGGCTGTTGAGTTGGACATGAGGAGGGGTGGGTGGCGGTCTTCGGTGAGTTGGATGGATAAGCCAAGTTGGGTCCGTTTGTGGGAGGCTAAAACCCCTCCGAAGCTGAAGATCTTTGTCTGGCAAATTCTTAATCGGGCCCTACCGCCTCAGGATCAGGAGTTCTTAGCCGCGATTCTGGGGGTTGAGGCGGTGGGGGTCCATGACAAATATCTAGGTTTGCCTAAATTGCTTGCCCGGTCTAAAATGGCTACCTTCCGATATTTGGAGGAAAAGCTGCTTGAACGCCTCCAGGGATGGAAGCAGCGGACATTATCTTGGGAGGCTAAGAAAACATTAATTAAATCAATTGTCATGGCCTTGCCGATGCATGTGATGTCCTGCTTCAAACTGCCTGTCTCTCTGTGTAGGCTGTTGGATAGACATGTGGCTCGATTTTTGTGGGGGCGGTGGAGGGCCAGCCCAAGGTTCGATGGATGTCCTAGCATAACATGTGCAGGAGTAAACATGAGGGGGGAACGGGCTTTTGCCGATTTGAGCAATTTAATCAAGCCCTTTTAGCTAAAATTGGTTGGCGTATCCTCACTGATCCCCAATCTCTGCTTGCCCGGGTCTATAAAGGAAAATATTTTCCTACTGGCACCTTCCTTACTGCCACAGCTCGATCCCGTCCCTCGTGGGGGTGGCAGAGCATCATGTTTGGTCGTCAACTCCTGGAAAGGGTCTCCGATGGCAGATTGGTAATGACCAGTCGGCTTCGCTTCTCCACTCCAATTGGATTCCCAGGCTTCAACTTGATCCCCCAAGGTTTAATCCCTGGATTTTGTCAGGGAGAAGGACGTTGGAATGATGCTAAGCTGGGGCAGTGGTTCGACCCTCTTACCTGTAGAGCTATTAAAGCTATTCCTTTCCCGAGGCAGAATGTGGAGGATAGGTTGATCTGGCATTATACTAGGGATGGGATTTTCTCGGTTAAGTCGGCCTATCACATTGCTGTCTCCCTGGAGAAACGGAGTGGACTTTGGAGGGCCTTGGTCAGTTGGATGGATAAGTCTAGTTGGATTCGAGTGTGGGGAGCTAATATTCCGCCTAAACTTAAGGTGTTTGTCTGGCAGATTCTGAATCGCATCCTCGCAACTACAGAAGCTCTCATTGAGAAGAAAGTTCCGGTGCCTCCTCGATGCCCGGTCTGATGGGATGCACATGAGACAATGGAACATTTGTCCCTCTACTGTCCGGTGCCCCGCGCTCTTTGGGATTATTCTGGGTTGGAGTACCTCAGCGAGGGGCTGCCTCGTCAAACTTTTCCTTTATTTCTTAAAAGGCTACTGTCCTTAATTCATCAGCCAGAGCTGGTTATGGCGGTCGTAGCCGTCCTTTGGCGGATCTGGAGGTCTTGGACCTGGGTTGTCTTTGAAGGAAAACAGTATGGGATTCCAGCTCTTATGCCCCAGTTTAATCAGCGGTATGAGGAATGGATAAGGTTGTCGAGATGTCAGGACCACTTGGCCAGTGGCGGACCTAAGGCTAGTAAGGGTGTCGTCCGACACACCCTCACTCGAGAATTTTGCGAAGAACCTATATATTTTAGGTACAAAATTTTTTACTTCGGAATAGCCAACACACCTCCAATAATTATAGCCGACACACATTCATTATAGTCGAAAAATTTATTATCCAAATGAATGAATCTTAATCATAATCCATTTTAATTTTGTTTAAAATAACTCATAAATCATAATCCTATCACTTCCTATTAAAAAAAAACAGACTCTCAGCCCATACAATATATATGTGTGATGTGTGTTGGGTCTGGGCCTATAATTAAAAGAGAAGAAAAAAAAAACCACAGGCCAAATGGCCAATGCCCAGGCGGACACTATTTATGCTTTAGTTTACTTGCTGTTGAAGTTGGTGTTGACTTTACCTGTTGCAACTGCAAGCTGCGAAAGAGCATTTTCAGCTATGAAGATAATCAAGAACAATCTTCGAAATCGGTTGAGTGACCAATTTAAGAATGATTGTTTAGGTGTGTATATTGAAAAAGATTTGCTTTGCAGCGTAAGTGATGAATGTATTTTAGAGACATTTCAACAGATGAAAAGTCATCGCGGCTCGTTGTAAATATGACATTGTGAACTTTATGAATTAATTTTTTCTTTTAATTTCTGCTTAATTTTTTAATTTAATTTAAATATTATTGGATTTTATCGGCGACACACCTCTCCGACAATCCTGGGTCCGCAACTGCACCTGGCCTTCCGCCCACGATTACAACCGCTGGAGCCAGTCGAGCCTATCATGGTTGTTTGTATGTGGGATGGGGCTACGAGGAGTGGATCTCACACGAAAGGGGGGGATGGTGATTTTGAATCCGGCTCGGGATATCTTGATGGCTAAAGGAGTTCAGTTTCCAGGAATTGATGATCCTGCTGTGGTGGAATTGCTAGTCCTCCGAGAAGCAATGTTGTGGTGTCTGGAGCATGGTTTCGCGGTGGTAAGATTTGAGGGAGATGTCAAGGTGATTATTGATAAGATCAGGCAGGCATATACCAGCGATAACCAGACAGGGGCTGTTCTTGATGAAGTAGTACAGTATTTTGCTGTCCATCCTGGGTTGAGTGTTCGATTCGTAGGTCAGCGTTATAATAGGGTAGCTCATGAGGAAGCTAGAAAGACCCTTTCATTGTACCAGACTTTGTGTCGTTTCTTTGATTTTGAGACCTGGCTGGAACCAGGGTGTAACTGTCTTCTATCAATCAATATAAGATTACCTTTTGTATAAAAACAACGGTAAATCGTAAAAATTTTGGCAAAACTAAGAGTTTAAAGGGATTCTAATGTTCACTGATTTCAGAGAAATCATGATTGGTACAATACACCCTTTATACATCTTGTTGAGGGAAAAATCCCAAAGTACACTAGTACTTAAAAAAAATTTCCAAAATACATAAGTTATAATTTTTTTTCTCCAAAATACACATGTTTCACATTCATCGTTTTTGTCTAACGCAGTGAACATAATGACCGCTTCAGACAAACACGGTGAAGAATTCACCGTTTTTATTTAAAACGATGACGTATTCACCGTGGTTAAGCAAAACGGTGAATAAGTCTCCGCGTTTAATCTAAACAGTGAAGACATCATCGTGTTTGTTGACAACGGTGAATAAGTCATCGTTTTAGGGCAAAGCGGAGAATAACTTCACCGCCCTAGGTCACGGCGGTGATTGTTTCCCACGTTTCCCACCCCTGGTAGGTGAAAATTAGGTCACAACCACCTAATATTCACCACCTTAGGGCAACGTGGTGATAGTGTTTACCGTTGGAGACAAACGCGGTGAATGCTGGCCGATTTTCTTATAAATACCAGTCCCACTAGCAGTTGTAAAAACGTAACCCCTCTCCCTCTTCAAATTTCTGCAACCAAAACCAAGCAACATACACAGAACATGAATTTTCGGTATGATTTAATTTTTGTATTGTAGCCTAAATGATGTTTTTAGTAGTTATATTGTTATGTTATGAATTACTTATCGTAACAAATATGTTCTGTTAGTTGGGAAATTTATGTTGTTGTTAGTTAGTTGAATTTATGTTATGTTAGTTATGAGATGGAGTAATATTAGTCGTACAATATGGTTTTGGTTAATTTTACTGGAATTAAGCTAATAGTTACTTATTGTAAATTGTAGATATGGGTAAATTCAAGAAGTTTCAGCTTATTATTCGTTGGAATGGAAGGGTGACAAACTCTGACATATGGATTGATTATGAGGACGGTGAATCCACTATGTTGAAAATTGAGTCGCGATTCAATTTTTAAGAACTCTGTGATATTTGTGCAGACAGGGAAGTGGTACCAATGATGGCCTCTCCAGAAATCGGTAGCCCGGTGAGGATCACGATGTTTTTTAGAGTGATCGTCATTTCCCCCTCCGGAAGGTGAAACGTATGGGTTTCGAGGCGCCATTGCCGTAAGTAGATCGTTGTCGATTTCAATCCGCATGAAATGCCTCAGCATAGCCAACCCGGTCCTCTCTATATACGGCGCCAACCGATCATGCCAATCTGGTAGGTTTGTGGTCCCTTTATGAATGACGGGAATAAGTGATTCCTACAAAAAAAAAATCAATTTGTTAGTTAAAAGAAAGCAAAATAAAATAAAATAAAAAATAATATTATAAAACAAGTGACCTCTCTCTTCGTTTTCTCTCTCCTTTCTGGGTTTTGCCGGTGATTCATGGCCGTTCCGGCCGGTGCTGGGGAGCCAAACAATTGGGCTCATTTGTTTGGGGTTGACGAGGGGAGCAGGCTTCGTTTCGTTCAACCTGAGGTGTCTGCTGGGGCACTACTTCTTCCCATGGCTCTTCGCGAGGCTGGGGCGGTGCGATGGAGGGATGCGTTGGTCGGTCAATTTATCGCTGAGCCGCCATCACTTCAGACGATTCAGACGTGGGCTACTCGGATATGGGGAAGAGATGGTCCGATTCAGGTTTCTCATCTCGATAATTCTTTGTTCCTATTTCAATTTCCAAATCTGGAGACAAGCACCTGGGTTTTCGAGGGCGGACCTTGGCACTGTCAGAATATTTCGGTGTTCTTTCGTCGATGGACGCCAGGTATTCAGCCGTTGGATATGCAGCTGGTTTCACTTCCGATCTGGGTTCGGGTATTCCATTGGAGTACCATTCTTCGGATGGGCTGAGTCGTATTTCCAGTGTTTTGGGTGTTCCCCTGTGGATGGATAAGGCCACAAGGAATGGCTCGAATGTGGGGGTTGCTAAGGTCTGTGTGGATATGAGGGTGGATGCTGAGTTCCAGGATAAGATTCATATTCAGCCGGAGGGCGAAGCAGTTATGACTCTTACGGTGGAATATTTGCGTGTTCCTCCGCGCTGTTCTCAGTTCCAGGTCTATGGGCATGGGATTGGGCAGGGTGTTGACTGTGCAGTTGCTGACGCTGCTGAGGCTGTCTGGGTAGCAAAGGATGCTCAAGTGGGGGGAGTTTCGGGTTCATCTGTGATTACTCCTGCTTCTCCATTTACTGCTATTCTTACAGGGGGGGGGGAGCTCTTCCGGGGGATTCCGTTTGGTTCCTAAAGGGTTGGATATGGGGGCTGTAGCTTCTACGAGTGGTGTGAAAGAGGCTGGGGAGGAAGCTGTTCCCCAGGTATGGAAGTCGATAGAGGTGGAAGATATTGATGATTTGGTTGCTCCAATTGAACAGTCTGGTTCTAAGGTTGCTGAGAAGTCTGTTGTTCGTTCTCCTGTTCCTCGTAAGAAGGGGCGGGGGAAGAATAAGCGTTAATGATTTTACTGAGTTGGAATCTCAGAGGGTTTAATGCCTCTGAGAAGCATAGTTATGTAGTTAGTAGATTAAATAAATTTCATGTTGACATTGTAGCTGTGTTAGAGACTCGGGTTTCGTCTAGTAAGTCTGTTGCTATAGTTAATGGTCCTTTCAAGAATTGGAAATACTTAGATAATTATGATAAATCTCCGACTGGGCGAGTGTGGCTGTTATGGAGAAGTGAGTTGCAGGTTACTTTGTTGGAGTCTGGTGAACACTTTGTCCATGTGAAGGTTGTTAAGGGTTTGGAAGAACTAGTATTAACTGCAGTTTATAGTCCTAATAAGTCAGGAGAACGGTTAAAGTTGTATCAGGAGCTGGAGGTATGTAAAACCATGTCTTGTCCTTGGGTGGTGATGGGTGACTTTAACGCCATTGCAGAGGTGGAGGAGGCTTCGAATGTGGTTGCTGTAACCAATGTAGTCAAAATCCCGATTTTAATCTTAAAATCTTACGATTTTACGATCTTACCTATGGGTTCCGATCATGATTTTATTGTAAAATCTTTGAACCTTAAAATCCCATAAAATCCCGATTTAAAACTCTAAAATCCTTAAAATCTACGATTTCTACGATTTTGTACGATTTCAAGGTTCACATCAATTGGAGCAAAATGAGGCTGGTCAATTCCGGTTCTATCCATAAACCAAGTCAAGTTTACTTCTCACGACCCAACATAATGAACAACGCAACCCTAACCCAATAGACAACACTCAATTTATTTTCATTCTCTTCCTCGTAACTTCCTCTTTCGCACGTCGACACCCAACTCCTTCCTTCGACGATATCTTCCACTCTCCCAATTAGCTTGTAGGTTTTTCCCACCACCCTCACAAAAATCCAAATCTCCATTCCATTGCAATCTTTCGTTCATCTCTCAGTCCTTCAGCAGCACTATCCCCGACCTTTTATCAATTAAGAAGGGAATGCACCAATCAATGAGTTATCTTTGTGATCAAGGAAATATGGTTAATGGTGAAAGTATTTCAATTGATCTTAAGAGTAATTATATTAGTCCTTAAGCAAATAGACAAGGATGAGAGTTAGAGTGAGAGTGTGGGTGAGGATGATGATGATGATGATGAGTAAGTGATATTAATGTTGATCCCTAACGATCTTATGTAATTTTCTACTCTTAACTATTAATTAACTGATTTCATTGGGGGTTTCAGGTTGCTTATTTGTGTGTTTATATTATGTACAAGAATAGATATATGGATTTAGCTGTATTTATTTAGCAAACAAACTTATCTTGGGAAGTAATTATGTTATATGTGGTTGATTGTTGTTCAGGATATGCATTTTTATTACTTAAGTGATTATTTAATATGAACCTTGAAATCTTACGATTTTACGATTTTAATCTACGATTCCGATTCTACCTTAGTTTTCGATTTTACTTAAAATCTCGATTTTGACTGCATTGGCTGTAACTCAAAGCATGTTGGACTTCAGGGGGTGGATAGAGCGTATGCAGTTGGTTGATCATAAGATGAATGGATCATGGTACACCTGGTGGAACCGTCAAGAGGAAAACCCTATAGCTAGGCGTATTGACAGAGTATTGGTAAATGGTCCTTGGTTGTCTTTGCTCTCGTCCAGCTCAGGTAGAACAATAAGCCCTGGGGTCTCGGACCATTGTGGTCTTCTTTTAACTTCTGTTCGTATGGTTAAGAGTTTGCCAAAACCATTCAAGTACTTCAAGTTTTGGCGATCTCATCCTCAATTTGAGGGTATTTTGACAGGTGCTTGGGATCTACCGGATCAGGGGGGTGATCCTTTTTATAGGCTATCTAAGCGGTTGAAGATATTGAAGAAAGGTCTCATGGTTCTCAATCGTACCCAGTACTCAGATATTTCAGCTAGAACTAGGGAAGCAGAGGGGCTCCTTGCTGCAGCTCAGCAGTCTGTTCTGTTAAGCCCTTCTTCTGTAAATGTTAGTCTGGAAAAGGACTTGGCTCTCACTTGCTATCAATTGCAGAAGGCAGAAGAGAGTTTTTATCGACAAAAATCTAGAGTGCAGTGTGTGGTTGAAGGGGACTTTAATACAACCTATTTTCACAATTGTGTGAAGACTAGGGCTAAAAGGCAGACTATTGACTGCTTGCTTACAGATACTGGGGCTGTGGTGGATGATGTTGAGCAGATGGGGGAGTTGGCAGTATCTTTTTATAGGGGATTAATTGGTTCTCCTAATCCAGATGTTGTTGAGAAGCCGCTGGAGTTTTATAATGACCTTATTATGCTTAAGCTGAATCCTGAAGAGGCTGATAGTCTGTGTACTACAGTTACTAGAGAAGAGATCAAGTCAATTTTTTGCTCTATGGCGCCAGATAAGGCCCCTGGCCCGGATGGCTTTCCCTCTGATTTTTACAAGGCTGAATGGGGAGTTGTAGGTCGAGCTGTGGAGGATGCTGAATTGTGGTTTTTCCAGACTAAGTCGTTGCCACAAGAGGTAAATTCTACTATTCTTTCATTAGTTCCTAAAGTTTCTAATGTGCAAAGAATGAAGGATTTTAGACCTATTGCTTGCTGCAATGTCTTGTACAAGGGTATATCTAAGCTGCTAGCAAATAGGTTAGCTGTTGTTTTGCCTAAAGTGATTAGTACATCTCAGTCTGCGTTTGTGAAGGGTCGACTAATTAGTGATAACATTCTGATGGCCTCTGAACTAGTGAAGGATTATCATAGGAAAACAATTACTCCACGGTGTATGGTGAAAATTGATATTATGAAAGCTTTTGATTCAGTTGATTGGAAGTTTCTGTTTCAAGTTATGAGGACTATGGGGTTTCCTGATAGTTACATTGAATTGGTACAAATTTGTGTTACAACTCCAAAGTTCAGTGTGTCCTTCAATGGAGGGCTTTGTGGTTATTTCTCGGGGGGCAAAGGGCTTCGTCAAGGGGACCCTTTGTCACCATATCTTTTTACAATTGCTATGGAAGTTTTTTCGTGCCTTATGAAAAGAGCAGTCAGGGACGATTTCATTCCTTTTCACCCCAGGTGTAAGTATATTGGTATCACCCATCTCTGTTTTGCTGATGATGTTTTGGTTTTTACAAATGGGTCAGTGAGAGGGGTGGATGGTATTAAGTGTTTGCTAGATGATTTCTATTGTCTATCTGGACTGAGGTGTAATCCGGAGAAGAGTCAGTTGTTCTGTGGGGGGATTACTGACCTGGACAGGGATTCCCTATCAATACATACTGGGTTTTCTGTGGGGGCTTTGCCTGTACGATACTTGGGGGTGCCACTCATTTCGGGGAAGCTTTCTCGGGTGGATTGCCAAGTCCTTGTGGACCGTATTACAGCCAGAATCAGAGGATGGCAGCCTAAGTTGTTGAGTTATGCAGGTCGGCTCCAACTGATTTCCTCAGTTATTTCCAGTGTTCTTCAGTACTGGATGAATATCTTTCTTCTTCCTGCTTCAGTTTTAAAAGACATAGAAGCAATCTGCAATAATTTTTTATGGGGTGTGGGGGATTCTCGAGCGAGGGGGTTAACTGCTTGGCAAGTTGTTGCTGTGCCTAAGGCTGAGGGTGGTTTGGGAGTGAGGGATTTTCGGTTGTGGAATAAAGCATGTATTGTCAGGCATTTATGGAACATTTTGGCTGAGCAGGGTTCATTATGGGTCGCTTGGGTCACGAGGTATCGCCTCCGTGACAGAACTATTTGGGAGATTGCTCCTACAGCTGTCGGTTCTTGGATATGGAAGAGAATTCTAAAACTTAGGGATTCTGTTCTATCATTTGTTTCAGGAGCAGGTAGTTCTCTCAAGTGGGATGGTCTGGCTATGGCCCGTTTCTCAGTAAAAAGGGTCTGGCACACAATGCGTGTTAAGCAACCAGAGGTTGAGTGGGCATTTTTGCTTTGGGGGAAATATTTTATCCCTAAGCACAGTGTCTTGGTATGGCTCATCATTCACAACCGCATTGTTACAAAGGACAAACTATTTAGCTGGGGAAAGGTGGTAGATCAGACTTGTATGCTCTGTCCGGGTGGTGATGAAAGTCGGGACCATCTTTTTGCTGAATGTTCTTATTTCCAGGCTGTGTTGCGTGGGGCGTTGTCTGTTTTGCAGGTCCCGAACTGTGCTGAATGGTTGCTGAGTTTGCAGTGGGCTGTTCGACAGTGGCAGGGGAAGAAAAGTGTGGCTGCTCGGTTGGAGAAGTTGGTATGGGTGGTTGCGGTGAGTAGTGTGTGGAAGGAAAGGTGTTCTCGGCTTTATGGCGATAGGCGAGCTAGTTCTCCCTTTCAGTTGGTGGCTCCAATCAAGTCGGAGATTGGTTGTTTAGCTTCGAAGAATATTGAGCTTAGTGTAGCCATTGAGAGTTTGTATAGTTAGGCAAGTTTTGATAGGTGACTTGTGTTTGCGTTGTAAACAGTGTTTTTTGAGAGGGCCCTTGGTTTTAAGGTGTCCTGGTGCTTAATAGAATTTTTGATTGCGCATAAAAAAAAAAAGAAAGCAAAATAAAACCTTATAAAATAATAAAATAAAGCAAAATAAATCATCAATTTACCGGATTGTTGTCCCAAATTGCACGGGAGCGATGTGCTTCTTGATCGGTTAAATACCCCGTATCTCTTGGCCCATAATGGATATACAATCGAGGATCGTATATCTCGGCACCCATCTATAAAAAAAAGTAATGAAATCAGATTGTTTTTATTAAAAAAATCACAAAATCAAATTGTTTCGATTAAAAAAAATCACAAAAGAAAAACCAAGAACCTACCCGAAGAGGCTCTTCGTCCATTTTTTGGCGGAAGCCGGACAGAGGTTCGACGGGTTTATAAGGGACGGGGGCTTTAGGGTATAGCTCCAGGGCATACTTAGAACGAGACTAGAGTGGATGGAGGAAGGGAGAAAGAAGAGTAAATGTGGTGGTGTGATTTGGAAAAAGGGGGGGGGGGGGGGGGGGGGGGGGGGGGTTCTATTTATAGGGGAAGCTTGTGCGTAAAACAACCACTGCGCCATCACCGCCTTTGACAAAGGTAGTGAATAAACCGCCTTTATCTAAGACGGTGAAGGGCGCAGATCGAGTGACGTGGGACGCTGTGAAGCGTCAGATCTGGGAAGAAAAACAAAATCCGCACCTCACCGCATCCAACGGCAACGGTGAGCTTCCGCGACGCGGATCGTTGACGTGGACAAACACGGGGTATTTACCGCTTTTGTCTAACACGGTGAATGCACCGCATTTGTCCACGTCAGCGATCCGCGTCCCTTTCATCGTGGTCGTTCAATACGGGGAATATTTCACCGCGTTTTAATAAAACGGTGATGTCTTCACCGTTTTCGTTTAAGGCGATGAATGGTTCCCTCGTTATTCACCGTTTTGCTTAACGACGGTGAATACATCATCGTTTTAAATAAAAACGGTGAAATGTTCACCGTGTTTTTTAATGCGGTGATTATATTCACTGCGTTAGACAAAAACAGTGAATGTGAAACATGTGTGTTTTGAGAATTATTTTTTATAACTTATGTATTTTGGGAATTTTTTTAAGTACCAGTGTACTTTGGAATTTTTCCTCTTGTTGAGTGTGTGCCTTCTCAGAAAAGTGAGGTGCATATTCCCCAAGACCCAATTTCCATGGGTTGCTGCTGCATAAATTGATAACAGATTAACAACGAGATCAAAACTTTGTCCTATAATGTAAACATCCAGTCTAGTACGTCCTATGTAGTCTTGTCATTATACAAGCTCTTAAAGTCAGAATTGCCGACTGCTTGCGCATGGGTTTTGAGAAGTATAGAAGTCGAGTGAACTTGAGAATGTAATAAAAGATCTACCAGGGGGCAATCCAGAATCCAGCCTCCTCAAAACAGTTCCAGAAAAAGAATAGAAGTAATGAGCCATGAATTATTTGGGCAATGCTCTAAAGGGGTAAAACTTTTTAACACGATTCATGGTATTCCAGAGACTGAGACGTACAAAACAGACCCGTACCCCAACCATCAGGGACAAAAATAAAAAGGAAGAGCAATCAGACACGAAAACCAAGTTATCAAAGCTTTCTGAACCTGAAGCTGCTGAAATGTGTACGTTTGGAAAGAACTCATCATCCACAAATTCTTTTTATTCCAATTGGAAAGTCGGAATGCTGATACGCCTCTAGTGATGATGGTCGTCGCCATGTCCAGCTTCAGGGTCTCCTCCAGGTCCCACAACTTCCAGCTACAGACAAAACCAATCCAATTCAGAAGCTGATCTATGTCTAAAATCAATTTGTTTGCAATTTGGTACCCTTGTAACAAAGGGCCACTCTAGCAGTCAGTCAACTAGCCTAGTAGGGTTTCAATGAGAGCTTTGCCCTATAAGCTAAGAGGGACCATTTCTAATCCGAAACTCAGTCGCTCTCGGAGCAAAAAACAAAATACTCTCTTCTTATTGTTCCTGACTGCTTTCTTGATACCAACATTCAACAGATAGTAATAGGTATGCAGTAAAATTAGGTTTCCAATACTAGGTTTTCGCAAACACAAACTAAGTAGCCGTTAAATCATATAATGACTTAGCCAACAATGAGTACAAAGCACACAACTAGAATGCATGAGGATCACATCAACAAACTGACAGATCAGCATCACGAATGCGACAGTACACTGACCAGGTAAGGTCGTAAATATGTATGGGGGTAATACCAGCAAGCATGCAACTACAATATAAGAAGTGCTTCTGATGATCTAAGCAAGAAGGGAGTCCTCACCCTTAGAACTTTGGTGTTTGAGGAATAGTGGTCAAAGTTCTTGTTCAGAGCAAAAACCAGTGCACGATGAATGATGATGCAAGACTTTACAAGTTACCTTCATAAGTATCTAGTTTGAGCTTTTAAGCATTCAGTTAAAACAAGGTTTGGCACTATGTCTTAGCTACATGGTATGGAAGAAAAAGCGATGTCAGGAAGGTCAGAATGCTCATATTCCTTGGGATTCCAAAATTAGGCTAACAAACAGGGTGCCTTTTCATTCATTATATCCTACCATTAAGTCCATCCACTCCATCATAGCATAAAGTATCCAATGCTGAGATCCAGATTCAATAGTCAATATACATATTGCTTGAAATTTCAAAACAAGCATCTACACTTACCACAAAGTACTGCGAGCAGACAGGACACTCAAAATGCTTGCCTTTCTCCAACCAAAACCAGACAACATCATGTTCATCCTCTGTCAACAAAAAAGATCCAAATGAAGTGACATAAGTTTCTGAAGATGTGATATTACTCCTTTATTCTCAATTCTCCAGGAAGGGAATAAAAGGAGCAGGGGAGTTGCAATAAGGCCAGCGGTTGGGAATAGTCACTCACCTCCTTCACCTCCAGGGCATCCAACTACCCTCCTGTCATAGTAAGACTTGACAATAGCAGGTTCTTCCTGCAGGAATCACAAAATATACTAAGACTCAATCGAGCTACATACTGCCACTAGTACTGCATACATGTGTGCTGAAAAGAAGAATCCCAAAGGAGCTAACCATAGGCATTTGTATCTATTGAAACTGTAACCAGTGCAATGAAAATCACAGGATCAAATGATTTAACAACTCGAGGAGAAATAGAGTTTCATTTACATAAGCTGTATAGTCCACAAACATCTATAGTTCTACAATGAAAAAGCTATTAATCTTTCACAATCTAATGACTCTAGGTTATGGTATATGTCTTGACCTATTTGTTCATAGCATTCCAACTGCATATAAGTTTATTAAAAGTTGTAATTATTCCAAACTAAATATAATAAAATAGTGATGGAATTATTGATTTTATAACTTACACTACATAAACTTCCCAAATACTATGATTCATATGAGTAATTTCTCATTATATTTTGAAGTATATGTGATGTATGCATATCATTGAAAGTAATTCGAGCTGTTTGGGAAAAACAGGAAAAAGGTTGAATGAAGCCGATGGCTGCATAAAGAATTCAAAAAAGGAGGGGGAAACTAAGAAGCCCAAAGAAAGGGATGGAAAGATACAACATCAGTCTTCCAAAATGAAGCTAATGGACGTAAAGCCAGCTAGCAGATATAACTTTGTCACAAGCAGAGCAAGATAGTTTCCAAGCACACAAGGCAAATAGTCAAAAATAGGACTGATTATCAGGGGTGTACAAGGCACATGTTTAATGCACTAACCTTTGTGCCAAATGGACCAGCTGGGTGGTTAATGTCAAGAATATCTTTCCCCTGAAAAAGTAGAAATTTCAAGAATACATGTGAAGCGATGAAAGAGAACATCCCATCCATTACAATTACATTTCTCATGCTTCAGCAGAAAATGTCTCACAAACAAGTCTGCTAATTACAACCACACATTAGCAGTGCATACATCGGTTGTGGACATACATATGCAACACTAAACTTCCCACTCCAGTCACTAACGCAACAAATTAACATCACATATGCTCATACTTCAATTTCTATTCGAACATACAAATTTGAACCACATTTGACAAAAAAACGAAAACCTCAGTCCAACTCATTCACCGTCCTTTTCTGCATCAACAATGAATAAATGTAGGCACGCACCTGCAGTTCTGCTTCAAGCTCTTCACGTTCATGGCCAGTTGCAATAGGCATCACATCCTCGACTGGCTTTTTCAATGCATCATCTGCAAGACAACCCCAAAAGCTTTCTCGTTCAATCGATATACGAGAAAACGAGCACACTGTGATTCCAACACCGATAAAATCCACTTAAATCTAACTCCAGATGAGCCAAGGTGAACCAATAAACGCAGAATCAGAACCAGTTACAATCTCATCATTTCGGCCATTTAACGTCAAAACATCAATTGAAAATCAAAATGGAGAGCCATGAAATTCTCCAAACAACGAGAACAGCCACATACGCGAGAAAGAAAATTCCAAAAGAAGAAAAAAGAAAGTTGACATTCAATGAATAGAGAGGATGATCTAAAATTTGGGGGTCTAATCACTAATGATATTTTCTCTCGAACCTGCGCTGAAATATCGGTTGAACAGAGAAGAAGATGCTGCCGGATAAATGATCGATCTATCAGCGTGACGGAATCGAGAAGGCAGAGACGAGGAGGAGGCCTTGCCCCCAGCGGCGGCGAGGGTTTTGAGCTGCGAACAAACCGCCCTTCTCCACATGATTACAACTCACCGGTGGATTGTGATGGGTGTGAGGCTGGATCTCAGGTCGCCCTCCGCAGCTGAGTTTGTGTGGCTGGTTTCAGTGAGTCTCTCGAGCTTTTTCTTCTCTTTCTCCGAGCGCCCTCCGGGATTGGAGACTTGGGGAAAAGGAATGACATAAAAGGGGCCAAAAACAGAAAACGGGTTGCGAATTGGAATTGGGCCGCCGCTCGCCACGCGAATTACTCCACAGGGCGAGTTCATAGATGGCAAGCTATTTCGGTTGGTACTTATGATTCTAAATGAATTATTTTTTGAATTCATGTATTCTAAAATATTTTTTTTTTTTTTCAAAATTTTATTCAATACATGTATTTGAGATGGAACCTAAAATTTCATATCATCCACAATCACTTATTTTAAATCTCTACAAAAATGTGAGATTCTTCATTTGAGATTGTAGGCTTTAATTTGTTCAACTTTTAGCTCATAAAGTGATTTTTCTTTTTCTTAAAAATTTTGAATGGCTACAAACAAACAAGATATTCTTTCAATCATCTAATTCTTACAATCTTTATTTACAATATATGTATTCATCAAATACACATATTTGAAAAATCTCAACTTTCAAACGACCCCTTTTGGTTACTTGTTGTGATTTAGGGGTTCGTTTATATACCATTTTGTTTTTCTTCAAAGGAAGCTTTTAAGCCAAGAATAGAGTTACAAGAACGGAAGAGAAAGAGACATAAAGAGGTACCACGACTTGAATGGTTAGAGGTTTGTTGTTGTTTAAAAAAACTCTTTATGTGCCGACTTCTTATGAGAGTTATTGCTACTATTTTCATCTTCCTCTCAACCATAAATTGATTTTATTTCGAAACTTCGAGTAGTTGGACTTGTACAATATGAATTGTTGTTCAATTCCAACAAAAAATAGTGTGTAACGATGACGAATGGGCTTGATTCAGAATTAGACTAGTGTTGGAGATGTTGGATTGCACGGGTGCTATGATGGATGAAGATGGCTTGTTGGACCCAAGAATGAAAGTAGTTCCATAATGGTTCACAATTGTGTTAGCAGGTATATGACCTAAGATCCCTTTCATCGCATAAGGAGTCACTTTTTGAGTTTCTCAATAAGCGCTTCATCGACTCCCTTGGATCCTGGTGCATACATGCCAAATCAATTATCTTGACCTCAAGTTTAGATCTATAGCACATGCCAAATCAATTATCTTGACCTCAAGTTTAGATCTATAGAACTGAGCATGAAAAATATGCTCCATCTGTTCCCATGTATGGATGGAGTTAGACAACAAGTTGACATACAAAGCAAAAGCTGATCGTGTCAATGAGTTTCCAAATAATCTTAACTAAATCTCCCATATCTCCACATTGGACGGATCCCCCATCTTAGTGAAAGTGGCAAACTCGAGCACCCTGAAACATCTTGGAAACAATAGAGTATATCCACACATTCAGAGTAAGGTTTTTGGGACATGAGTGGCATGGAGGGTCTCATGTCCATGTCGAATTACTCGATGAGAAGTTGAGCCACTTGGTCTCTTAGAGTAACGAGATCATGCCTCCCATGTTGCCACCTCGAGGTACGAACCCTATGAGGTCCATGCCATGCCCATTGAAATAGGGTGGCATGGGTGTTGGGCATGCCCGTGGGGAAACTTGATCCCCCACCTAAACCTACTCCCCTCCCAAATGAGCATACACAGTATAAGGCCTCGTCACTGCTAGTATGGGCATAGATGGTGGTTCAAGTGGTGTGGAGAACATGGTTGCGAAATTCTCAACACGTGGGGATAGTTCTCCAAGTTTCACATTGAATGCCCCTACACTTGAGTAATGCATCTTGCCTTGGTTGGCCATTGCACCTTACGAGAGACAAACTTGTATATCCATAAGTGTTTTTTGTGGCTCAATTCATGCCATATAATGGCAAAGCTCTAGATTGAATTATTGGTGTGGTTAAAATCTTCTAAACTCATCAAAATAATTTTTATTTTTGTTAACCACCTCAACAGTTAATTCAAACCTCTATCTATTTAAGAATTTAGACAATCTATTTGGAAATTTACTTAATGAGCAACGATTATAGACTCCTCTATCACATGCCATTTGGTGGCCCTCCTTTGTGGATTTACAATTCTATGCCACCAGTTTACGATTCTCCTACATCATTTGACAAAGGATCCCCATCACTTCACTGAAATCTCCATTAGGTGTCGTCGTTGGCAGGACCTTCATCCTACCATTGTTTATGGCCACCACCTCTAATGCTTTGGCAAGTTCAATGTTGGTCACCTGTCCTCCATAAAAACAACCCAAATACCACCTTCCTGATTCCTTTATCTCGGTGCCATCAAATTGAACACAAGCGTCCCACTAGTTGTGCCAAAATTTTTTTGGTGAGAAAAAATGAGTTGAGACAGAATTGAGTTGCACATTTGACTTTTACCAAACTATTACTAAATACAGCTCACATCTCTTTGAAAAAAGTTCAAACATGGGTGTTGATTGTTTTTCTTGTGATCTACTAAACAAAGCTACGTGAAATTAAACAAACTCCTATAGAGAGTTAGTGAGAGCCCATAACTACAACTATGACTAAATTTGTAGAGGAAAAGATTAAAGGATAAATTTGATATTAGGTTGTCTAGTGTAAATTTGGTGAACCTTTGCTCAGTCATCTTCACCTCCTATTTATACCCACGAGACGGTTACTCTCCACTTACTCCGATGATGATTGACATTGGTAGTAGTCTCCTCTTGAGTATTGGTCCCCTACACTAAGTAGCTATTCCTTACCTTTGTTCGTCGGTTGATCATCCCATCACATAAGGGTATCATCAATAATTAGCCAAGTTATGCTCCCACCTTGAAACACCATGGAGTGTGCTGATTGATAACGGACATAGAAGTGGGTTGTTAACCCACTCTTTCTTCCCCTCTTTCCTCTGTTTCTGTTCCTAAACTTCAACATCCCACTATAGCTATCAGCTCCTGTAAATCAACACTTAGTTATTCCTCTGTACTATAAGTAGATATGATCAATAATACCAACACAAGTTGAGCAACATTTACATGGTATCAGAGCCAGAGTGAGATATGGGAAGAGTTTTACCATTGCCAAACATAACATGATTTGTGCCATTGTACTCAGAATGGTGAGCCAGATTATCCAAATCGGATGTGAGATGGTAATTGGTGTCGGAGTCGAAGATCCACTGCTGCGGGTGAGGAGGCTGGGTAGGCGAGTGGGCTAGGTGAGCAGTTGGGCCGGGGGAAGGATACGGAGGGCTAGGGCAGGCGGCCCGAAGGTGACCTTTGCCGCCACAATTGTGACAGATTGGTGGACTGGAGCGGGCACGAACCTAGGGAGGATGATGCGGCTGAGATGGGCTTGGGTCCAGTAGACCTGCAGAAGACGAAGAGGGTGAGAGTAGCGACCCACACCGCCGCCGCGAGCCACCGCCACGCCCCCGGGCAGCGACAAAAGCAGAGGGTGAGGCCGAGCGAGATTGATATCTGTGAAACTGAATTTCTTCACTGATCAATAGGGAATGAAGATCTTCAAAGGAGATTGGTTCATGAAGGGCTTCGATGTGTCTGGTGAAGGGGAGATAGTCTTCGCCGAGGCCATCCATGATGGCCACGACCAGCTCAACGTTGGTAACCGGAGAGTCGAGAGCCGCCAGTTGATCCGCTGTCTTCTTGGCGTCTTGGAGGTAGTCATGGATCTTGGCGTCGCCTCGATTTAGCTTGTGAATCGAACCGCGAAGCTGGCGGATTTAAACGGAGGAGCCAGAGGCATATATACGGGCGAGCGCCGACCAGGCATCAAAAGTCGTGGCCTTTTTGATGATGTTGTGTAGGAAATATTCAGAGAGTGAGAGAGAGATCCACATGAGAACCATTTGATCGCATTAATACCAGGTGGAGTAAGCAGGATTGGGTTGGCCTTTGATTTGTTGGGGCGACGCCGGGGATGAGCCATCGACATGGCCCATCAGATGGAAGCAGCGGAGTAAAGGGAGGAGTTGAGTAATCTAGAGTAAGTATTAGGTTGGGGAGAGTTTGACAGTGATATGAGGGTTGGATGGGAGAGGCATCGCATGGGGATTGAGAGGAAGAAGAAGAGGCGATAGTGGTGGACGAGGCAGAGGAGTCAGTCGACATGGCAGTTGGATGTCAAGAATAAGGAAAAGAAAAAAAAGGAATCAGTCTCGTTTGACAAAAATGTCTTTTCTTTTCGCTAATCATTATTTCCCCGCCGAAGTCTCCCTCCACTGCCCTTCCTAATTCCAGCACCCTTATATCCCTGCCCCAACCCATACCTCCCCTCGGTCCACTCACTTCTCCCTTCCCTAGACCAGCCATTTCCCCTGGGCCTCGACCCACTTCTCCTGCCTTCCCGCCCAGCCCACATCACCATCTCCTTCCCACAACTTCTCTACCCGAGCCCACCTCCCCTATCCCTGTACACCAGCCCACACCATCACATCCTACCACCATCTCCCCTACTGGGCCTTGGCCCACTGATCCCTTTCCTCCAACCCAGCTCCCTTCCATCCCAGAGACCACTTCCCCACCCTCGCCGCCATCACAACACCATCCACCTCTGCCCCTCCTATTCCCACCTCCACCAGCAAATTACCCCCACCAAAACCTCTTCCCCAATGCCCTCGTTTTACGACTTCCCCTCGCCCTTTGCCTCGCCCTCCTCGCAGTCCCATTTTCACCCGTACAAAAATAGGAAACCTCAAACCAAAGACCTTTGCTGCCGCACTCAACGATGAACTCACCACTGTCACCCAAGCTCTCAAAGATCCTCTATGGAATGTTGCTATGCGCCAAGAACGTGATGCTCTTCTCCGCAACAACACCTAGGATCTCGTACCCAGACCTCCAAACTGCAACCTCATCACCAACAAATGGATCTGGCACAACAAACTCAATCCTGTTGGCACACTTGAACGGCGCAAAGCGCGCTTGGTAGCTTGGATATTCCAGCAAGTACAGGGTCGTGACTTTACTCACACTTACAGTCCGGTCTTGAAACCGGCCACTCTTCGTCTTGTTCTGGGCATTGCAGTCACCAATGGGTGGCTTCTTCATCAACTGGACATCTGCAACGCCTTCCTCCATGACGAATTGATCGTGGAAGTATACATGGCCCAACCTGCTGGGTTCATCGATCCCAACTACCCCGACCATGTCTGCCGTCTCAACAAATCCATATACGGGCTCCGTCAGGCCCCCCGCACTTGGTTTCAATGTCTTGCTCGAGCTCTTCACGCCTTCGGCCTTACTACATCCAAGATAGACCCCTATCTATTCATCTTCAACTCCGGCGACTCTTACCTTTACATGCTTGTGTATGTTGATGATATTGTGATTACAAGTTCTGATCAGGTCCTCCTTGACCGGCTGCTGTCGCATCTCAATCACCACTTTTCTCTACGCGATCTCGGTCCCCTGACCTACTTCCTCAGCATTCAAGTTGTTCGCCACTCCAACGGCATCACCCTCAGCCAGCGAAAGTTCATCCTTGAGCTTCTGCGACGTGCCCATATGGAGAATGCCAAGCCAATTTCAACACCATCAACAATTGACATTGTGACCACCAGTGCCCTTGATTCGTCGCCCAAGTTCGCTGACTCCAGTCTGTATCGAGGCAATGTCGGTGGCCTACAATACCTCAGCTTCACCCGCCCAGACATCTCATTCGCGGTCAATCAAGTATCTCAATATCAACATGATCCCACCGACACCAACTGGGCTGCTGTCAAGCGTATTCTTCGCTACCTCAGAGGCACCCTCACTCAAGGCCTCTGCATCAGCCGCTCTACCACTTCTGCAATCCACGGCTACTCCGACGCTTCTTGGGCGTCCTGTCCCCAGGATCGCAAATCCATCACTAGCTTTGCAGTGTTCTCCGGCACCAACCTCATCTCCTGGTCCACTCGCAAGCAGCAATCCGTTGCCCACTCCACCATGGAATGTGAATACAGAGCTCTAGCGACGGTTGCCTCTAAGGTCATCTGGCTCCAATCTCTCATAACAGAGCTAGGGCAATCTCTCCCGCAGTCTCCAATTCTATGGTGCAACAACCTTGGCGCCACATTTATTGCACACAATCCGGTCTTCCATCATCGTTCCAAACACATGGAGATCGAATTTCACTTTGTTCGTGATCGGGTCACCAAGCAACAACTACGGGTACACTATCTTCTAGCTCACGACCAAATCACCGATGTTCTTACCTAACCGATACCTCGTACCTCCTTCCTCCGATTCTGTGAGAGGTTTCGCCTTTCCTCGGCTTCACTTGCGGGGGTGTGATAACGAACACAGAAGTGGGTTGTTAACCCACGTCTCTCTTCCCCTCTTTCCTCTGTTTCTATTCCTGAACTTCAGCATCCCACCGTTGCCATCACCTCCTGTAAATCAGCACTTAGTTATTCCTCTGTACTAGAAGTAGATATGATCAATAATACCAACACAAGTTGAGCAGCATTTACACTGATGACCCCCTCGCCACATAAGGGGGCTCGCTTCAATTAGTCAAACTTTGGAGTAGATAGGGTGATAGGCGCGGCGGGAAAAAGTTCAATCAATATCATCTTAATTTACTTAAGTTGCTGTAATTAAGTTGTCATTATAAAATCATTTAATCCCTTATATTTAACCAATGTGATACAAATTTATAATTTTTTTTTATAATTTAACCGTAACAAATTTTGCATTGAATCAAAAAATGTCTTTACTTTGCAGTACATCGAGATTGTTTCAACAAAAAAAAATAAAACAACAAAAACTAAAGCAAACATATAATAATGAATTCAAACTTTTACCCAAGCATCGCCCATTGGCTCTATACCCTATTCATAACTAGAAATCTTCTCGGGACCTTTGCTAAGCAGGGATAAAACTTGGAAAACTAGAAATGTCAATTGTTTTCTTGAGCGAAAAGTACAAAAAAAATTAGATTAATTTTTCGACCAAAAGGGTACTATGTGAAATCTTGGTGTAACAGATTTTAATAGGAAGATGATAGAATCCATCAATCCAACCATTGGATGATATGCAGGATGACGAGAAATAGATTGGATCACTGCTTCCATCATCATCATCATTGCTTGCTAGTTGGCTACTTCATAACATATACGTGCGCTTGAGCGCTTCAGTCAATTATATTCTCGTCTTACTATATGGGAACATGCATGAATAAGAATGTCACGGGATGAACTCTTGCGTTGCCTTTTTGCTCCTAGTTTTTAATTTCCATCCTTGATGCTTGATAGCCGGCCATTACTACTCTAGTAATCTTCTTCAGATACATATAAGAAGACCATTCATTCTACGTTGAATTCAAAACTTCCACAAGTTTGAATTCTTCAGGTAAAACAAGGACCCCCGTGAACCCAAGCTAAAATACGGTCCAACTCGCAATATTGCCGGCCCGACCATATATATATATCGACTACATATACAAATATCCATCATCTGTGCATCTAGCGTCTAACTTTACACACAATAATTCTTTCTTGATTTCAAAGAAAGCAAATTGATTAGCGAGAAGGTTAGTTGATTTTGTTTATCATGTCGTCAACGTCGCTGGAAGCATTAGCTATGGCGGGAGTGGATTGCGTGGAGTGGGGAATGGACGCACAAGAATGGGAGCTTCAGCAGCTTCACGAGCCGCCGCTGCCTCATTTGCTTGCTGATGCTCATGACCTCCTCCAAGAAGATTATTATTCTTCGGCTGCCACCACGGTGGTTAAAAACGACGTCGTCCATCAAGGGAATGGCGGCGGCGATGATGACAGTCCAAGCACCGACGGCGAGGTTGATTGTTTCTATGGTGAATTAGGAGGGAGTGAAATAAAAAGGGAAATATATTTTAGTCATAAAATCCACCACTGCTGCTTGAGGTTTATGATAACTATGTTGATTGTCGCTCGGGGCTCTGTTTATTAATCGTCTTGTGATTAATAACATTTCGTTTTTCGTTTTGTAATTTATTCCTAAACCTCTTTTTCTTTAACAATTCTTTACTTGTAACTTGTAAGTGACTATGATCTGATCCATGATTAAATAACAATCCAGTTTATTTATCTATTTAATTTCTTTGATTTGGTCCATACAGGCTCAAGATAGGGTGTATAACTATGGGTTATGCACCCTTCAATAATCAAATCTGGACCATTTATTTAGAAAATCCAGATCTAATGATGGAGAATTAAAGGTCATTTTTATTTTTTCTAGTTTTCTTAATCGACTCATATCTTCTTCGTTTTAACTCGGATTTTAATTTCTTTTGCACAGATGGAATGAGTTCATCGTGCTCTACAAAATGAGATCTATTTTCAATATTTTTTGAGAAAAAATATTCTTGCTTCTCGGTACCAACTGCATACCATATGGTATTTTCTTCATTTTTAATTCGTTTTTGAAAACGTTTGCACAGAAGGGACGAGTTCATCATGATCTATTGGATCTACAAATTTCTGGGTGAACAACTTACAGGACCAAAAATACCACACAATACCACGCAATACCACCCTAGTACGGGGTGGTATCTTATGGTATATAATGTTAAAAGTCGTAAATGACAGTTAATACACTTATACTATCATGTATTCAACCATCCTACAGTCTTGGTTTGTTCATACCAGCATGGTACGCTTTTCAAACTATAGGTATGCTCTTATTTCAATACCAGTCAATACCATATGGTATAGACTGGTATAAAATGGCTCAATTTTTTTTTCGAAAAATATATCAAAGTGTATATAATTTTGAAGAGCATAATTAATCTGATCTAACTGCGCAAAAAAATTATATTTCAACTTAAAACGAGTGAGAAATCGTTCATCAAAGATTAAGGAGGAGAAAATTAAAGGCTTTCCAGGAGAGAGGAATGCTGATGTCGTGCTGATGTGGACGGGTACTCATTGTTACTCATTATAAGGTTACTGACCTGATCCATTCCCGTGGTACACTCTGTTCTCGAAGGAAGGGAGGAAAATGGAGGGGAGGGGAAGAGAATTAGGAGGGGAGGGATAATTTGGAGGTTAAGGAAATTGGAAGGAAAATGGTATTTTATGGAGGAAAGTGTGAAGGAAAATGTATATTGGGAATTGTGATGAATTTATTGGATATATAATAGTAACATAAGTTGATTATATGTTGATATTATTTTTATGGGTTATAGGTATAATATGCCCCTCTACTATGACGTTTTATCAAACATGCACCTCAACTATGTTTTACATCAAACATGCCCTTGTACTTTGTAAAAATGATAAAACATGCCCCTTTGTTAAAATTTTCATCCAAAAACCGTTAGCCAAGGCCGAACTTTAGTTTGGGCGACACAAATGACTAAAATATCCCTAATAAATTCACTTTAGAATTTTTTTGGTTCTTTTGTATAATCAAATCATTCAAATAATTTCACTTTGAAAAGACTCAGGGAAATAAAACAGGGGAAAAAACTGACATTTTCTCTCCCATTTGTCGATGTCGGGTCTTCTAAATCTCAATTCAACCATGATTGACGATTTTTTCAATGGAAATTTTAACAAAAGGGCATGTTTGATAATTTTTTCAAAGTACAGGGGCATATTTGATGTAAAAAATAGTAGAGGGGCATGTTTGATAAAATGTCATAGTTGAGGGGCATATTATACCTATAACCCTATTTTTATAGGTTATGAATTGTGAATTAAATTTGTACTTTTTTACTAGTTTTGTTCACTATTAAAAATCAAAAGTAGATGGTTTGAAGTTTTTTTGTGAACCTATTGTTAAAATTTTGTTTGCTATTTTATTAATTCATCAACATAGCAACTAAAATGTAGACATACAACAAATCACACTATACATACACAAATCTATATTCATATTATTGTTAAGTCGTTTCATTTTTTCCCGTTTCATTCTACAAATCAAAATTCAAAATCCGACACCTTAAGACTAGTTTTTGAGTTGAGTGCATTGAACGCACTCATTTTTGTGAGTACACCGAAGTAGTTATATATATAATAAACAGAGGAGAGAAAATAAAAAAAAAGTAATAAGTTGGGCCAAGACCCACAATAAACTATCTTTCCTCCCAAATCAGAGGGGAGGCTTGTACAGTTCTTTTTCCTTTCTCTTGAAACTGTAGCTAAGCTTAAAGAACGGAGGAAAACCCTAGGGAATTGTGCTTTCCCTCCAATACTTTCCTTTCCTCCCATTTCCTTCGTTAATGAACACAGGGTAAGGATATTCCTTGGCCAATGGACTCAGAAATCTTCAAAACATTAGATTGTCATCTCTCTACATTAACCTTCCAATGGAAAATAAAAACTAATTAGTTGCTGAACCCGTGCTCTGTGTCGGGAGATGGAAAATATGAGTTTACTTTTTTGACCAATCTTTACTATAGATTGTAAACAAATCAATTGTATTGTATGATTTACAACATATAAGTTTTTAAAAATAGTAAGTGGTTCCTCTTTTAAATATAAATTAAGAACCAATGATAAAACATAACCATATATTATCTTCCAACTTTGTCATCAAGAACATATGCAGAACCAAATTGATCTCAATATTATAAGAAAATCAAAACAATATGCACCAAAGGCTCTGGTGATCTAAATATTTGGCCACTTGAGCAGTACAAAGATCACTTTGGGAATCGTCGTATACTATGGTAAATTCAAAATGCATAATAGAATGCACACAACTTAGGTTGATAACTGAAGTATACAAATAATAGCAAGTACACGAGTTTAAGTGTAGTGATGACAACCCCTATAAGGTCACTGGATATAGACAAAACTTTTGTACCCTCAACCTGCGCTTTACTTACATTCAGCATGTGGACCAGCGGCGGATCCAGGATCGAGTAGAGCACTGGGCCACATTTGAAAAAAGGTGAATAGGGCTGGGCCGTAACACGGCGAACACTGAAACGAACATAAAAGCTAGCTTAATAACAAAAAAAAGGTAACCTATCAATGTAATGGAGGTCCATACACAGAATCATAGATAAACTAAAGAACTTAATCAAATCCATGAACTATAGGCTGATTCAACCTTCACGCCATCTGCCAACTAATGTTGAATCAATGAATTGACTATTGTAACTAAATTCCCAAATCTTACTCCACAATTAATCTTAGGAAAGTTTGAATCACCATCCATATTCACAAACGACTTGACAACATTGACGACTGAGCGAAGTAATTCTTGGATACGGGATGGTGCATTCTTCAGGTGAAAGCGATCATGTGAAATAGTAATCACTCCTTCCCAGCAGTAGATTGTAGGTGCTAAACAACCATTCCCCTGTTGTTATTGTTTTTCCGCTGGACTCCTAGCTACTCTGGCCACTTTGAAACTCGTCTGTAGAGAACCCTTAAGCTGGAACTCGTTACCACTGTAAGGGGGCCTAAAATAATCACAAAAGTAGGTAAGAACAGGGGAAAGAGAGGACTCCTGATTGACTTGTTCCTTGGCGTAATTCAAACAGAAAAAATAACGGAGTACAGTGTAAGCCAGGCTCATCAACAAACACAATTTAAACAAACATAAACACACCAGATTGAGAACCAAATCCCTACAGGTATTCTACGACAACAACATCTTCCCGCCCGCACTAAACATTAACATTGGCAAACAGACTGAGAAGAGGGATAATCACCTATAACCCAAAAGTTTCAGTGAACTTGAGAATCTAAAAAGTGACCTCCCTTGAGAAAAAAGGACACAGGGAAATTGTGGGTGTTTTATTTCACAATCCCTTGGTCTCCACCAACTGAATCTTAGATTAGAAAAGTACTAAGCTTTATGACTACCAACACCTTTGAAACACCAACTATTGATTAAAAAAACAGAACAAAACACATCGAAAAGTACCAAGCTTAATGACTACTAGTACCTTGATCAACTTTGATAAACCCCAACTTCCGCGGAAAGCAAACTCGTCGGCGAAATCTCCTCCAGATAAGTCACCAAACAAAACCTTCTGAGGAAGGAAGAGATAGGAAACCCCATAGAAGAGCAGAGTGGGAAAAATGAATAGAGAGGAAGGTACAGAGAGTGAACAAACACATGAAATCCTAGGAGCAGGTGCCGATCTGGTTCATCTGAAGGAAGAACAAAAGATAGAAAGTGAAATATCAACTGGCTCCGACGATGGTTCACTCTAGCCAGGTGGCGTTTTTCAAGAAATTGATGGCCGTCTTTATGGCAGTGAACCCGTTGTCGTTATCTCCTTCAACAGAGATCAAACATATCTTTAGAGAGAGATAATGAGGAATTATTACCCGTGGATACCCGCCATCGCTAGCTGGTGCAGAGGTAGGTAGACATCTTCAAAAACGTCATGAGCATCGAGGTCGGTGATGGAGTCAATCTCAGAGCCTGTCATACCTTTAGGGTCCAAACCCATAGTTCAGCAAACTCATTGCAATCCATCTCCCAAATGCTTCATCCAACCCCAAACAAGATGTATGGGTAGCGGTGGCCATAAATTTCCTTTTGTTGCTTGTGGACAAAGGTACAACATAACTCAATGAATGGCTCTAAGTAGATGTCATCCTCAATCTCAAGGAGGCGGCGCCACTGAGGATGTACCACGACTGCTGCCATCTCAGATCCACAATTCAGAGCATTGAACTAGTTGAGGCCGGTCAAACATCCAATGAGTCCTAATTGCTGCTCGTTGCCAAACAACGACCTCATTCTTAAGTTGAGGATCTTTCACCAACTTCCGGAGGTAAGATTGGTCCAGATCAACCATGCTGCAAAATATCAAACCAAAAAGCACCATATGTGGAATATAATCAGACAAAGTATATTTGAGAGAAAATATCACTTGCCCACACTTGTTTTCAACCTAGGTGACAATCCGACATAAGCTTTTCAGAAGGTCGGATCACCATAAAATAAGCTCAAACATCCCAAAATCACATTGAGGCATG